TAGCAACAACTAAAACATCGGTGTGTTATCAACATTGATTGTTCTCAAAATCCAAAACACAGCACTGTACCAGCTACTAGGAAGGAAATTAACTCTATCCCTGCCGAAACCAGGACAGGCCCCATGAAATTGCAGCCTTTATTCATGGTGGAGAGGGAACGGTCTTATTTCACTGCTCTGATCTATATAAGCAGAAGAAAGCAGGTGACTTATTTCTAGCTTATTAAAAAACAAATCTAACTTAGAACATGTGCACTGTCCCCTGCTTGTGTGAAGACTTAATACTTATTTCTTCCTTTCCAGGCTCATATGAATTACCACTCAGAACCTACTTTATCGATCTTGTCATAGATTTGTTCTGATCGGTTTGAAAAAGCAGCACCAAAACCCTTTAACTCAAATATTGTAATATTTCTTCCTCATGGCAAGCAACACAGCAGTCTGCTGTGATGTTGGGAAGCGATGCTTTTAACTGTGATAGATGAAGCACAGCACTGCTTCAATTTATTGCTCCTCCTTGTTTTCATGCAGCCTTGCAGGTGTCTCCAGGAGTGTAACATTGGTGGTTGCCTACATCATGACCATCACAGACTTTGGTTGGGAGGATGCACTGTCTGTTGTCCGCGCAGCGAGATCCTGTGCCAATCCTAACATGGGCTTCCAGAGGCAGCTGCAGGACTTTGAAAAACATGATGTTGATCAGGTAAATGAACTACAAACAAGAGAGCTGCGAAACACAACCCCAAGTCGGATCACGGGCTACTTCTCATTATTTTGTGGCCTGGGTGGTTTATCTGACTCTTTTTGTTTTTGCTTTGAGGGAGTGGCTTCTTGGCCAAGCCTGCTCCACTGGGGAGGTACGGATAGAACTGAAGGTATCAGGGAGTGCTGGATGGGAGAAGAGATGAAGCACAACATCTAAACACCTCCTGCCCAGCTGTGCTCTCAATCCAGTGATTGCTTCATGTGTGCTAATACACAATACAAGACTGACACCTTTAGAGGGCTAAAAACTAAAGACTGAGTTGCCCAGAATGCAGCAGAAAGACCAACCTATAAGTACCAGTTGCATAAAAATAGTGGGTTTCCCCCCAGCACATTCATTTGGAATAGTAAGCAGGAAAGAAATCATAATCAGAAATCTTTGCTATCCAGGAGTTAAACTAGGTTCTCATTATGACTTACGCGTTGTGTTCCCCCTACCGTCTGTGGCTGAGACTTAATAAATTTTCTGATGTGTAGAACATTCTCAAATCTGACCCTTTTTTTCTTCTTAGCCTTTGAAGGCTTTGTAGAACTAGGAGAATTGAGGGAACAGTGAGACTGCAAAGTGGTTTTCATAAAACAAAAATTAGTTTCTTACCCCTAAAAAGAACCGTCCCACGCAAAAGACCTGCTCCCCGTGGGTGATAGGTGACTTCCACTTATGTTAACAACCTGCTCTGGCTATCCCCTCCGTTTTCCATTGCTCAGCATGTTGCTGTTCTCTGGGCTTTTGTGCCTGTTGTGCTTATTAAAAATCAACAACAACAGAGGCAAACCAAAGTCGGAAAACAAAATACATGAGGCAAAGGATGTTGGTGGTTTTTTTTTTTTAATTCCATCCCTGTCATTCTGCTGCAGAAAGCTCAGAGTTTAGAAATTACCATTTGTTTTGCATGATGCAGTTTGCAACTGTAAATATTTGCGTTTTTTTTAATATTTAACTGAATGTTTCCTGGATCGTTTGGAACTGGTGTAAATGGCAGAGTAACCGATTTTGAAGAGACAAAAGTCAGAGGGGGACTTTCCAGACTTGTCTCCTTCCTCCCTTACAGTCATTTCTACTCTAATTGGTCTGGGCTAACAGCAATGACAATTAAGGCTATATGCAAATAGCCTGATAAAGACAGTAACGTCTCTCTTTTTTCATCCACCATGGACGGCACATTCTGCCTTTTTTCACTGAGGGGGAGGCAGTAGGTTGCAAAAAGAAATATCCACCTGTAGTCACTGGCTGGGCTGTAGTTTCCTACTGTCTCTTAACAGCAACCACATCCTTAGCAGGTGTCTGTTTACACACCTGATTTCAGTGGAATAATGCCATCTGCCAAGGGCGTGAACTTTTTTCTGATTTCAGCAGCATGGGTGTTTTGCTGTGCCACTGTAGGGTGGTATCCTGTGGGGTTTCTGGAATGGGGCCCTTTGGATCTTGGTCTTACAGGAAGGGGTTTAGTCACTAAGGTCACAACATGGTTTGCACCAATTCCAAACTTCCACGTGGTGGTCTGAAGCTTCAGATTTGACTCAGGATCTTATGATCTTTTAGGAATGGGAGGGAGTAACTATGTGGAGGTCTTGTCTTCCAGTGTCCTAGTAAATGATCTTTATGGATAAAGCTGTCCATGAGCCCCAAACAGAACAAAGCTGTGAAAGTTAAGGCTTGAAAAATGAATATTATCCCTACTGGGACAGAACAGTTGGGGTCTGTGTCTACTTGCTGCTTCTGCAGAGAAGAGCAACGAGATTTTCAGGAAGGACTAAGTGGGCTCAAATTCTTCAACTGGCAAAGAAGTGACAGAGAAGGATGTGATAAAGGTCTATAAAGTTAAGTGGAATAGAGAAAGTGAACAGGTGTGATTTTCACTCTTCCCTGTAATGTGAGATGGAGCTATCAATTGGGAGGTCCCAATCAAGGAAAAGGAGGGGTTTTTATACAATATGTACTTACGGAGCTTGTTGGCATCCAGATATCTTGTGGTAAAAACTTGTGGATTCAAAAAGCGATCTCAGGGCAGAAAAACTCATTTGTTGCTATCAAACACAAAGGTACTGCCTCAGCGTCCAAAAGTACCTGAGCTGAAAATTGCTGGAAGCTGAGGAAATGAGCAGGGAAAAGGTCCCAGCATTATTGCCCTGCCATTGCCTGATTCTTTCCTTGGCATTTGTATCTGGCTAATCTCATACCAGGATACAGAGCTGGACTGACCTTCAGCTGGACCTGGTCCATCTGTTACCATGTACCATATTCAGTCATTCATGTCAGTAACGTATAGGGTCCTATTCTAAAGTTTTTAAAGCTCCTGGACTAGAAGATACCTTTCCTGATATCTACAGTACATTTTTTACTACTGGTATTTGTGGGCTCAGGATAAAAAAACCATGAGTGGTTCACTTTCTGATCTTCAACCTTCTTGCAGCCTGTTGTGACTTGGGCAAGTTGGCTGATCATACTAGCTTCCACGCTAATTCATCTTATCGTTTGTATATGTAACAGGAGGAGGGTGCTTTTAAGTCCAGGATGTCCTTGCCCAGTGGGCGTTCCTTACTCCGTATTACTCCAGCCAGCCAAGCTGTTGTGCAAGTGTGTCATTTTAGGGGATGTAAGGGACCTCAGTGATTTCAAATGTGTTCTGTGCCTGTGTATTCTGTGCTGCTATCGAAGGACAGGCAATATTTGGAGTGCTTTTCTTTAAACTGCTTGCGTTCTTAAAGGCTCTTGAAATTCTGTAGGGCAGGAAGGACTATTACTTCTGCATTACTCTCATGTTATTGTTTCATCGTGTTGTATCTGTATGTTCAATTTCTGCAGTTCAGGCAGTGGCTGAAAGAAGAGTATGGGGAAAACTCTTCTCAGGATCTGCAAGAAGCCAAAAATCTTCTGAGCAAATATAAAGAGCAGGCAGAATTGCAGCAGAATACTGGGGGAAGACAGTGGAATAACAACTTCTCATCTGTGCCATCTCTCTCATACAGCAACTACACAACAGAGACCTAATCGTAGGAGGTTGACTTTTTTCTTTCTACCTTTGAAAAACATCTTGCCGTAATTTCCATCCCATCTTCAAGACTCTCAGCAGTAATCATGCAAGCAGTTGATTTGTAGAAAGCTTCTTGATGAAAATACTACATTATGTGTGTGTGTATGAGTGTGTTTGACACAGTTTTTTAATTTGGGCAGGAACAAGCTCTCTGTATGCCCAGATCCAGCTACTGTGGCTGAGCCAGTTTGTCAGCCAGCCACAGCTATTATCCCCTTGTGCCCACGTTGCCTGGCATTTGCTGTGAGGTTAGCTCAATTCCTTTCATTGTAGGCTAGCAAAGGGCTCTGAGAGATGAAGTCTGGTGATTCAAGCTGTGGCAGTTTGACATCTCTGCACTACTAATGTGGCAAAGATGTTCTTGCACCTGAAGAAGGGAAGTCTGTGTCTCTGCTGCTCCTGTTCGCAGTCCATTGGCAAGTAATACCGTGGAGGTGGGCTTGAACTTGAATGCTAGGCTGCAAACTGGAGCAGGTGAGATGTGGGTACATGTACCTTTCTACCAACAGTAGCATCTAGGAGAGAAGTGGGACAGACAGCTCTGAGTAATAACATCTTCAACTGCCACAGTTGTACTTGCTTCAGTGCACGTGAGACAGAGCTGTCGGTAGAACTGCCGCAGACCAAGAGCACCGAGACTGTTACCACAGCTCAGCTGATGTGCAGTGATTTAAGCCGTGGTCCCTTGATTGTGCATCTGGTCTCCCAGCGTAAGCTTCTCTGGAGAGTAGTTTATCAGGTCTCCAGTGCCGCTGCACTTCATTCCCTGTGGAACGTGTGCCTCTTCAACACACGCCCCTGCGCACATGATTATGTGTCTCCAAAGAGTGGGCTCGGTGTGAGTGCGAGCACCTGTTTCTTTGCTTGTGCTGTGGTTTGCTCTTTGACTTCAGCTACCTCAAAAATGCTGTTCTTGTCATTGTGGTTGTAAATGCAACCTTGAAAATTGCCTTGTGTAATCTTAATCTGACACTGAGTGAAGTAAGTGGGGGTGTGTGTGTGCGAGAGTGTGCGCGTGCATGTATATTTCACAAATGTCTGTATTTGCAAAGTTTATTGTTTTCTTTTAAAATTGCCCATATTTCTCACTGGTTTAAAAATTGAGTTGTTTGAATTCAACTTTCTGCCATTTTAAAACCACTATATATTTTGCTGTGATCAGATTCTTAGGAATGCATTTGTAAAATATATTTTAAACTAGGTTAAAACTAGGGGCCATACTCTGCTCTTTGTAACATTGTGTGTTTCTGGAATGGAGCCATTGCCTGACTCAAGTGTATTCCAAGAGTGTAACTTCAAATATGTCGCCAGGGATGCTGGGCAGCGTATTGATTTCTGATGGTGTAATGGGGGGTGGCACTGATGTCAAGATCATGATTTCTTGTCTTTGACTCAGAGGATGGAAGGCCTATTTTTCTTGAAGATTCCAGAAAATAAAAAATACCTCCCAAACAGCCAGGATAGAACAACAAAACCAAACCCCTCATTTGTTTAAATGTGGTGTGTATCATGCCAAAAGCTGAGCACTGAGCGAGAAGCAGTCAGCATACTAAATAGACTGTTGTCTCTTTCAATTTCTTCGGTTCTCTGACCTCCCATCCCTTCACAAGATTCCTCTTCATGTGATTTCCTGCTTGCCTTGGGTGGCAGTGAATTCTTTGGATGGGAGCAAGGCTTTTGGGGTCAAGTAAGCTCTGGCTGTTAAATATCTGTTGTTAAGTATCTTCAAAAAATACATGTTACGGCTTGTGAAATATGGATCTTGCATATCAATAATTGCCAAAAAGGAAAAAAGGGAATGGGGTGGAACTGGCCTGACCGTTTCATCTGAGTCCAAGCCTGCATCAGGGTTCTCAGTGCACTAAGTGCTTTAAGTGTACTGAACACAGTGAGAGCAGGATAACCGTGTCTGTGTTGCAGTAAGGGATGCTGTTGGATTTGGGAAAGGTGCTGGAATTCAAGCTTGTCGCTAAATGAACCACCACCTATTTGGTATATCCAGCAACTGCTCTGTGTTTGCCTGGTAAGAGGAGTATTTAGCTCTTCTCGAAGACGTTGATCTGCAAATAATTGGCTGTTTAGGAATTCCAGCACAGCAGTGCCCACGTTGGCAGTCCCCTCTGTGCTGTGAGGGCAGATGTGGTAACTGGAAAACGCTTTCCTCGGTAACAGGGTCTGACACGCGTTCAGGATGCTAGTCCACTTGTTCAACCCTCTACTCACAATAGGACATGTAGGGCAACTTCAGCCTGTCCCCAAAGGGCAGCTTTGTCAGAAGCATTCTGCCTATGCTCTTGCCAGGTATCCAGTCAGTCCATCCTGTAGCTGACTGCCAACGCTATGTATCCCATTACACTTTTGGCACTCTCGTCCTTGCGGTAGTAACCCTGTGAGTGCTGGTAAGTTGGCAGTTCTTTTTTCTGTTCTGACAAATACAAGGCAGAATGGGAGACATCTGTTAATGTTCGTGTGTCCGAGATTATTCTGTACTGGGTTTTTTTTTAGTAGCTTGGCTATCCCCAAAGAGTCAGTCCCGCAAATAGAATTTTTTTAGAACTGAATTTGGCTTTAGGGCCATATAGCCGCATCAGTGTGCATTATGCTGCAGCTCGAAAGCAGATACAGGGTAAAGCAGGAAGATGGAGGGAGTGCCATATTGTCAGCAAGTGGAAGTGCTTCTCTCTTTTTAAAAGACAGAAGAGGTATTTTCTGTAGTCTCTTGCTTCTACATCTTGTTTAGCGGTCTGTATGTACTGCACACTGCATTTAAGAGTGGTAAAAGAGCAACAGCAGTCTGAGAAAACTTGAATCTGGTTTGTCCACGTAGAGAGCAGAACGATAGTTTACTCCTTTATTACCACAAGGTGCAGAAGAGAGTAGCAACAGTTCTCACCTTTGGCCTTTTAGAAAGGGAGAGGAGCTAACACAGACTGAGAACGTGACATGATTTGTCTTCCAACCAGCCTTTCAGTGGCAGTTAGTAGGACTTTCCAGCTATCTGGAACGTGACTAGACCCCAGTCCACCTCTTAGTAGTTGGCCTTTATAGTGTAGACGATGCATTCAGTTATTTTGTTTCTGTACTTCAAAACACTGTCCTCATTTTGATGTTCACTGGAAAATGTATAAAGTTTATAACACCTTATTGGATATCCAGATTTGAAATGTATAATCGATTTTTTGGGGGCTAAACTTGATATCCATGTCTGATTATAAGCAAATGTTTAGTGTTATACAATGTAGGTAATGGGTAAAAGCATTAGTATTTATTACCCTGATTTTTAACCTGGAAAGAGTTGCTTCCTTACGTTTTGTGGTTGAGTGGGAAGATATGGCAAATCATATCTCTGTTTTTTAAAAAAGACAGTAATAACGTTGGTTGCTATAATGGCCACTGCCTATAAAGAAGTCAGTGAAAAATTATAGTAATTACTTCAGCTAGTTTAAAAACTCTAAACCTGGTAAGCTTCTTGATTCTGTCTTCCTCTTCCTGGGCATCTTAGCAAAGCCTTGATTGCTTTTTCCAAATGTTTGTATTTAATATGTTCTACAATTTTTTTATAAATAAAAGTAAATGTTAACACCTGATCTGCTTGTGTATTTCTCTAAATAAATAATAGTCTCTGGAAGGTTTCTACTCACTGTTTGTATCCCTGCAGGTACAGTAAGAGTACAAGACGAACTCATTTTGATATTTAGATTACTTTTTTTCTCCTGCACAGAGACTTCTTGAGACTTCCCCTCTCTTCACCAAGTTCTTCCAGGTGAGTTCAAGAATCTGCAGCACAAGCATCTCTTGATAGTAGTCCCACAAGAGGCTGTTGCATGTTGCTCTCTTACTTATCGTTGCTGGCCCATCGTTGCGATAGGGTATGTGGTGAATCCAAATTTTTTATTCTTTTGAAATACCTTCTTTTCCATAGGACACTGGTTTAGGGCTTAATTAGCTGTAAAATTTAGCTGGCTTACAGACTGCCAAGACTCAAGGCTCTCAGTAGTGGTTTGTCAGAGGAAGCTGATGTAAGTGGCAGATGATGATTCTCGGGGAAAAAAAAATTTTAAAACTTACAGTGTAAGGGGGGGAAAAAAGCCCCATTTAAATTCCCACAGATAACACACTGAATTTCTGGTTTGACACCACCTCTGCTAAGAGGGTAATTCTGGCATTCGAACAACAACACCAAAAAAAAAAACCAAAACAAAAAAACCCAAAAAACCAAACCCACCAACCTGAAAGTATAATCAATCATGCCTAAGTAGCCAGATCTCATGGCCACTTTAGTCGTTGCTGAAGGCTGAACTACGTTCTTGGAGTGGGACTCCTTCATCATGAAGGCAGTTAGATGCTCAGGCACAGTGGGGTTTGGGTCTTTTCTTTTTGCCCTCTCCTCCCTCTCCCAGCACTTGTTAGCTTATAGTCTGCTGGGAGTGTGTGAATGTTTCCTAAGGGATCCCAGGGATTCAACTAAATAATATCCTGCACTAGAATAAAGTTAATGTGTCTGTAGATAGCTTTGTATGTGCTAGATGTGCCTTGTTCATAATATATTTCAGTTCATCTTCAGTGTAAGTGGGATGGCTGTGACTTTATTAAGTGTGTTTCAGTTCTTTTCCTCTTTCCATGAAAAGACTTTAAATTCAATGCAGCCTGCTATGTGAAGCTTGAATTAGTGTAATTACCTCCTTTCTCCTATCTGTTATCCATAGCAATGTCTTAGATACATGTGCTGTAGCATTGATGAGACAGAAAACATGTTTAAAATATAATCCCTTGTGAATTAGGAAAATCTCTTAAGTTTTAGAGGAGGCTTCCCCCTACCCCCAAAGGAAAACAGCAAGTTTCCAAATGAAAAATGCACTGCTGCTTTGTCTCCCTTTTGACCACTTAGCACCTCTCAAGGGCAATTTTTATCCAAATCACATGTAAAAATTGTGCTGCAACCATGGTGCCATACTACTGTTCCCAACTATCTTGTTTCATGCAATGTTATATGTAACTGTCATGAGTTCTAGAAAATGGCAGTTCTGATTTGATTCACGTAGTCCTGTCCCACCCATGCAGTAAACTGAGGGAACTAGAGGGCAAACCCGCATGTCCTTAGATGTGCTCATAACCTGATAAGGAGTTTGGGCTTTGCCAGCGAATTGAGAGTCCTTCCACCTCCTCAAGAAGATTGTACTGGCGGAAGGAAGATGGTGATGGTCTCTAGAAAATATTAGACAGCATGAGGAGGATGATCTTGCGCTGTACAGTGTTTCTGTGGAAACTGCTGGAGACACAAAGCATGCGACAAGAAACAGCTATTTTCACACTTCATTCTTCAGCAGAGCTTTAAATGTGGCTCTCGTTTTCCATGTGCCCCAGCTCCTGTGTCTTCAACTATTCCACTGCTACATATAGCTGCTGTCCAGTATTACTCTTCTGCCCTCACCCAGGGAACAAATTCTTTTTCATACATGTTTGAATGTGTGCTTTGCTCTAGTGAATTATGCAAACTGCAGTTTACCAAAAGTGAGTAGCTTGTGCGTAGCAAGATGACTTCCTGTAGTTTCCATGTAGTTTCTAGGGTAATTACTGGGAGTCAGCATCTGATGAAGTGTGAGCAGGAGGTGCCTTTTTGCCATTGAACTACTGCATAGCTCAGTCCTTGTAGGAGACTCAATTCTGCTCGTGTGAGCCAAACACATCTGCAGTAAACTGGGAGTAAAATTCATTTGCAAGCAGTCTCAAAAAATGGAATTTTTCAGCCAGACCTGCACCCAGTTTCCATTTTAGTTGAGGCAATTATGAATGTGCAGGTTTGTACCCTTCATTATTCATTGAACTGTGACTAGAGAGATCAGAACCAAGACATCCCAGCTACTTTTAAGTTGTTTGCTCGCTTGGTCATCTATTCACACAGGCATTAGCAAAGCACAGCTTTAGATCTGGGCAGATGCATTTACAAATGGGCCCTTTGAAACTCTGAGTTCTGATTCCCCTTCTTCCCTTCTTTCTCTGAAAGCAAGTGAGCTTCTACTTAATTTGTCAGATACAGGGCATGGTTTCTTGTATCTCTTCCCTTCCTCCCCTCCTTTTCCCTTTTTTTTTTTTTTTTTTTTTTTTGAATCTCTTCCCTTCCTCCCTTCCTTTTCCCTTTTTTTTGTGGGTTTTTTTGGTTTTTTTTGTTTTTTTTTAAATAACTGGTATTTATCCCAAAGCTCTTGAGTCAGGATAAGTGAGTGCCAATGTGTGGCTTGCAAACAATTTATTTCCTGTAAATGTGTATTAATAAAAAAAGCTTATGTTATAAGGTTGCTGATTTAATTGATTGTGGTAACAAATACAATTCTGCTGTTTGTGCATCTGTCCTGTTACGGTGGGGGGGGGGGGGGGTGCACACCCCCCCCCATGTCATCTTCTGTGGCAGTCTGGCTCCTGTACAGCACTGGATGTTTTGGAAAAGTAACACTGATCCATGACAGTGTTGAACCTGACACTTGAAAAACTAAAAAGGGATATTTAACTTTTATTTGTATGCCAAAAAGCAATGTCATTGGTGGACCAGCATCCTATGCAGGTTACTGATTACAAACAGCGTTTTGCTTGATTCTCTCTATTCCTTGCTTTTTAAGGCAAGGTGGGACTTTGCTGAAAGCTTGCAAGTAAGGGCAAACTCTGCCCCGTGTTTAGAGAAGGTAGGTGTTGAAGATGTCAGAATTACGGCTGTGTTTATGCATGCTCGCTGCGTATTTTCCCAAGGACTGCATTTTGGAAGTCTTTGCAAGTAAGTCTGCAGCATGTGACTTTCCCAGCAAAACTACTTATGTAATCCCTCAATGTCTCAAAAGAAAAAGAAAAGAAAAGAACCCCACCACCACCACCAAACAAGCAAACAAACAAACCCCAAACCAAAAACTGAGCGCTAGGCAAGCTTTGGTCAAATCCTCAGATTTTAGACATGAGACTCTTCTGTTCTTAGGTAGCTTATTTACTTGATAATGTCTGGTTTGCAGTGAGGTTCTTATGAGACCTGATAAAGATCTCCGTTCCTCTGGAAGGTAGGGTATGTCACGCAACAGCTTGCGTCCTCTGAGTAAAGCTTCATTTTTGCAGAAGTCTGCAGCCTGGGCCCGTTTACAAGGTGCGGAAGGTGCCTCTGCTGCCCACAAGTGAACTGGTTGGGCTTTTACTGGCTACTGCTACCATTTACCCCGGGGGAAAAAAAGACTTTTCTGTTTGAGAATGCTGAAAACCATTTGCGTTTTGCAAACCTTGGAGGCTGTGCAAGTATGTCTCTATCGTTTCTCAGCTGGGTAAGGCTGTATGACTCTAAAGTTAACCATCAGTACTAAGTTTGCGGGAGGAATGGGAAAAGGTTTGTCACAATACAAAACCCACCAGGGTGTTTTGTAGTAATGTACTAATTCACTGCAAGCGCACTCTGGACTTTGCTGTCGCTGGAAAGGTCTTAAATACTCCCTCTCTTCCTTAACCATATTTTCTTTTCAAGGGACTGAGGTGGGGCTTGTGACATGTTTAGAGTTGTCCTTCATTTCCCCGGGGTGGTCATCTTGCATCAAGTTGATTGCACTGGAGGAAATGTTTGTCTTGTGAGATCTCACATATTTCTCGCTGGGCCTTTCTCCCTTAGAATTATACATCCCTGATATGCACGTGAATTTCCAAAATGGCATAGAAAGGGTTGCAAGAGCACTTGCGATGCAGTAAGACGGGCTAGGAAGTTCAAGAGTCCCTTCTGACGCAAGTGTCTTGTGGTTTTTGGCTTATCAAGAAGGCATATTGAGTCAGACACCTTTGTCCAATCCGTAAAATGCTGGACTGAGAAGCATTTGGGCTGCTGTTCCCGAATCTCCTACAACTTGCTGTGTGACTAGGCAAGTTGCTTCAGTTCTGGTTTGCTTCATTTTCCCAATGAAACAGGGAAGAAGTGTTACGACTTTCCCTGCTACAGCTCTGCGAAGCCCCCGATGCAAAGCACTGCAAACACTGTGAGTGTTGGTTGTGTAGTGTTAAATGAGGTATCAGCTCCCCGAGGGGTGTTAAAATACCTTTGCAACAAGAGAGATTCTGAAGCAGGGCAAGGAGCTGTGGTGGCTTCTTGCTTATTCTCAACACCTCAGTCCCACCTGCATAGGAAGTGCTGGGCTGCACAGGATGGTGCTTGGGTGTTGATGGGAATAGGGAAAAAATCAAGGTCTGATTCCCCAGGTACCGGTTGCTGTATTTCAACATGAATTATATAAAATGCAGATGTCGTCATTTCTATGTGGAAAAAGACGGAGTGAAGTGGAAGAGGTCCAGGGCAATTCTGGTTGTGACTGCCCTAGACAAAATTCATCCCACACGTGCATCTGTTGAACATAAAATCTCAGGTAAAAATTAAATGGTAGGGATACGTAACATGCCTGTGATGTCAAGAATGATGTGGGGGCAAGTGGAGGAGGAATAGCATACGGAAAAAATTAAAGCATTGGAATACTTAAAGGTAACGTGGTAAGGGCTAGTGATAGATGTGCTGAGATACGTTCCATGCACTCCAGGAAAAAGTCTGCGGGTGAAAAAAATAATGAAAGGGAATCTCTGC